AACACCTTTTGACGTGGAACCTCGTACCCACATCGTTGCCTTGGTCCCGCTAACGGATCCAAACAGCGAAATTCAGACCATCGCTCCACCCACTACGTTGGAAGGGTGTAGCGCCCACCTCTGAACCTGGACACCGCCCAGGGCTCGTTCCATGACGCCCGCCTGCATCTGGTCTACTGCTGCTGGTAACAGCAGATCACAGACCTGGCACGGTCTGCAACTGTGCAGCAGTAGGGTCAGAGGAGATAATCTGCACGCATCTGAAGTAGTGCAGGGGTAGGGTTGGGTGAGATCATCTGCGCTCATCCTCAACCGTGCAGGGGTAGACAATCTGCACTCATATGCAACGGCGCAGGGGTAGGGCTAGGGGTAGGGCATAGGGGTAGGGATACCGGTACGGGTAGGGGTAGGGGTAGGGGTAGGGGTGGGGATGAGATAAGCTGCACTCATCTGCAACTTTGTAGGGGTACGGTGGGACAAGATAATCTGCAAGTTTGCAGGGGTAGGGGGCGATGCTATGCCTGCACCTGGGCTACTACTGCTGGTAAGAGCAGACCACAGACCTGGCAGGGTCTGCAACTGTGCAGCGGTCGGGTCGGATCAAGATAATCTGCACACCTCTGCAGATTTGCAGGGGTAGGATTGGATTAGATCATTTGCGCTCATCTTCAACTGTGCAGGGGTAAACAATCTGCACTCATATGCAACTGCGCAGGGGTAGGGGTAGGGGTAGGGATACGGGTAGGGGTAGAGGTAGAGGTAGAGGTAGGGGTAGGGGTAAGGATAGGGGTTGGATGAGATAATCTGCACTCATCTGCAACTGTGCAGGGGAAGAGGGGATGCTATAGGGAAGATGAGATAGCCTGCATGGTTGGTTTAGAATGGCACCAGTTTTCGACGCCGAGCGCATCATGGTTGTCAATGGGGAAGACCTTTGGGTGTTATGCCAGAGAGATCACCAGTTCGAATCCATGTTGCGTCGGAGATTGATCCAAAGGCTTGACTGATCATCAATGTGAATGAAGATACCACCTTTTTCTTTCCTTCTTTTCTGAGAGGGGCAGAGAGGGCCGACAACCGTTAAACAAGGGTAGCCCGCAGCACTATTATGTCCAACACGATTTGAAATCTACCCCCGTTTTTTTATCAACACGATTTCAACTCTACATCCGTTTATCATCACGGTTTCTCAAATCCTTCCTTTCTTTACGTTTTTCCCCCCTCACAAATCGCTGTCTGAGATTGTTCTGCAATTTCTGCAATTTCTGCAATTTCTGCAATTTCTGCGAAAATGCTGCAATTTCTGCAATGATCCTTTTAATGTTGGGTGCGTTGACAAAGGTCCTTGTGGTCCCGCCTCCATTCCATTCTGAGGTGAGGTGAGGTGAGGTGAGGAGCAAGCATCAGTACGGTTCCTTAACCCCCCCCGCAAGACTGAGGGTATACTTACACCAGGAGCTTTGTAAATGTATGTGACTGCAATTACGGGCACACCTGGATGAATCTGACAGCAGAAGCGTCCAGAGCGTAGTAGAAAAATTCCTATCAGTGTGAGTATGCCCTGAATCGTACATACATTTGAAAACACTTAGGGCATAGTCACACTGGTCGGAATTTTTGCAGTTCTCTTTGGACGTAATCGCGGTTAGGTGCATCCAGGCCAGGTCGGGAAAGCGGTCATATACATCCAGGAAAGTCCCAAGTGTGAGTAATCTCAGTAATGCCATTATTTGGAAACACTTCAGGCTTCTGTCCGTTGCGACGGAACCATCTGAAAACAGTCTTGATTGCTCCACAAATGGAGAGGATTGGCTGTAAGTTTGAGGCCCAAGAAAATGGTAAAACAAAATACTAAAAATAGACCATTTCGTCAGATGTGGATCCTAGGCCCATATTGGGTTCTCATGCTTGTGGGAGTGTGATGGCTGTCTTTGCCTCACCTCTGAAATGTACCCCTTTTAAACCCTTTTTCCC